ATGTCATCTGTGATCAACAGTTACGTCTAAAATTCTTACGATAATTTCTAAAATATTGATATTTAATAATTAAAAAAAAATTAGTAGATGCGCCTTCTTATCATGAGTCGAATGGTATATTTAACTCATTTATTCAAAAATTGTTAGATGCGCCCTTTTTTCTTATGACCGCAGCATTGTTTCGTACCGAGCTAGATAGCTCGACAGCGGAGGGAATGTGGGTACAGTCGCGTTCTAAAGTACTACATGGTATTGGGCTCTTGTTTTATAATATTATAGTAATTAATTGTTTTATTGTAGAATCATACTAGGTGTTTTACTAGCTACGTAGAACTTTGGAAGAGGTGGGAATTAAAAATGGTTAATGTTTACTTGAGCATTATTTGTAATTTCTATCGTAAAATATAAAGTAGTTTGTAACAAGAAAACTTAAGCTAAGGGTGACACGCCGTCCATTATGACGTCTTGGGCCACATGGAAGCCAGATGTTGATGGTGTGTTGGTGTTACTGGATGCTACTTCATCATCACTTTCATCTTCGCTTGAGCTTCCGTCATCAGGTCGATCACATGGTAATTTCTTTCGGTATTCTTCCTCAACACTTTTAATTTTACTGCACAATTTTCCCCATTCACCTTCTCCTATCATATTTACCTTTTCGATCACTAGTTTAGTCATAAAACAATAGATATAAATAATTTTTCTTTCCTTCCTTTTTAAAACATCGTCGCGAGTCGCAAAGTAAGCTGTGTATGCGACTGTATTTTCGGAGCGAACAAAGCGCGGGAACCAATAGCATGCAGGCACAGTAATACTGGCAGATTGTTTCCCCGTCGCGCGCCCCCTTCGTACCAATATGTGATAAATCGCTCAGTGCCCAAGTTCAAGGCCAGCGTTCTTTTTTCACCGTTCGTGCGTACATTAACCTCCATTAGTCAGGTGATATCAATTCAGTTTCCACTGCTGGTTTTATGTTTCAGTATTTTCATAAATTTTTTAATGAAATTATCGTTTCATTTAGCTGTACTAACATGATGGCGCGTGAATAAAGCTAATAAAATGTTGTAAAAATATGATTTTTTTTCATCAGGATCAAATTTATTTGTGACCCATGATCAAAGGTATACTTGGTGCTGTCGCCTGTCTTAGTTTTCGGGAGCGTTCCAAAAATACCCTGTATAGGCCTAGATTTTGATACTTTTTTATTTATTTTTACTTCTCTGTAAAAAACGTTACCCTCACACTAGGATTTTCTCCTGAGTCGTGGTGGCAGTTTACAAACATAAATTGCGCAAGGACAAACATACAGACCCAGAATAATTATTTGTAGGCCATACAAATACTTGTTCCATGCGGGATTTGAATTAGGGGCTCCCAGCGCAACAACTCATTGCTAAGCCAACGCGCTACGGAACCGTCAACTTACTTTTAATTTAACCTATTAAAAGTAAGTTGACGGTTCCGTAAAATAAACCTAGCAAGCTAACAGCATAGCAAAGTGGCGAAGCAATCAGCTTTGTAGCGGTGTCTAACGGTTGCCGTTGAGCAATCAGTTTCAAAATAGGAGGTTCAGATGCCTGGGTGATCAGTAATCGATTGTTGAAAACAGAATTTGAAAATTCAAAACCGTTCTCGAGATAATCGTGGGAAAGACGGACAGACGGACAGACATCGTGAAATCAATAAACCTAGCAAGCTAACAGCATAGCAAAGTGGCGAAGCAATCAGCTTTGTAGCGGTGTCTAACGGTTGCCGTTGAGCAATCAGTTTCAAAATAGTAAGTTCAGATGCCTGGGTGATCAGTAATCGATTGCTGAAAACAGAATTTGAAAATTCAAAACCGTTCTCGAGATAATCGTGGGACAGACGGACAGACGGACAGACGAACAGACAGACAGACGGTGTAGTGTTATACTACTTACGTATCATTTTACATTATTTTAAATTCATTTTTCCATTCTGTTTCGATTTTCTGCATTCACCTCAAAACTGGATATTTTACATCACCTTTATTTCCATAGGATCCTGTAACGATTTTAAACCATAAGAACACAATAACAAATCATTTCTACTTCGTATTTTCACATTATCAGCACTTTTAAATTGGTGTCAATGGAGTCTACCTTTTTTCGATCTTTTAGCTAGTTTTCCGTAACTCTACAATCTTGGACTTTGTGTGGGCAGTTGCGCTACCTTTTTTCCTATATCAATAATATCTCATTTTCCACTTAAATCTTATAGTTTTCTTATTATAAACCTAAAACCAAAATTTGACATGTTTTGATCTAAAAAAGGTAGACTCCATTGACACCAATTTAAAAGTGCTGATAATGTGAAAATACGAAGTAGAAATGATTTGTTATTGTGTTCTTATGGTTTAAAATCGTTACAGGATCCTATGGAAATAAAGGTGATGTAAAATATCCAGTTTTGAGGTGAATGCAGAAAATCGAAACAGAATGGAAAAATGAATTTAAAATAATGTAAAATGATACGTAAGTAGTATAACACTACAACGGACAGACGGACAGACATCGTGAAATCAATAAGTGACTTCGCAAGCTTCGCCACTTAATATGTGACTTCGCAAGCTTCGCCACTTAATAATAGATTGTATATTACGTTCCACTGCAGGGAACATACCTGATTCATTTACTTACAGGGTTCTTGGCAATAGAATGTCCGCCGCACTGACCAATGCGTGTTGGCGGACTTCAAAATCGAAATATTTTTTTTATTTCCAAGACACGCAGGTTTTGCTTCATCATATTCTGAGTAGAAAACATCTCTGTTTTCCCACACCCAATTTCATTGGTGTCGGTCTGTAGTAATAGCACGAATGGTTCGGCTCGACCGGAGGACTACGCTCTCACATAATATCAGCGTAAAACATCAGTTCAATGCTGCTGTGTTTCATATGGTGAGTGGAGAGAACCGGAGATCCTATTTATTTGATACAAGGCATTCCCCATCTTAGTCGTTAGGGGTGTGGGGATTCCACCACATTATTACACACACCTCATATATACACACAGAAACACAATAACACTTACACATAAACACATACAACACCTACAATAAACGTAATTAATTATATATTATGTAACCATTATAGAACAAGCATTTAACACATTGGGACCATTGTGGATCGACCTTTTTCTAGACAGAGCGGCCGGGGATTGAATCGCGGCGCTCGCGCATATCCTGTTGTACTTGTATCAAGTTAGTTACCTGCTGATCGCCTCTGCGACTAGACCCTTGTAACACCTTTGCGCCCGCGGCTAACCACGTACAGTTTATTTGTTAATGCTATCTCTTACTTTCTTGCTTGTGCTATTCTTTGTAACTATGATTGTGCTCGCTTCCCTTCTGACTCTTTATTGTAGTGTGCTTTGTGTCGTGGACTATTAAAAGACTGTGAACGTTAATATAAACTGTTTTCTTCACTGAACCTACGACGCCTTACGCCATTTTAACCTACAACTGGTGACCCCTGCAGAAGACGCTACAGGTACAATGAGTAGTGGTAGTGAATCGCCAGAAACGGCATCAGAACAAAATGTTACCACGCGCCCATGTACAAGGCGCAAGCACAGATCGCACGTCGACCTTACATCAGACGTTAATCGAGTTAGCGTACGTATACCGCCATTTTGGCAGGACGATCCTGAATTATGGTTTGCGCAAATAGAGGGTCAATTCACAATTTCAAACATATTATCGGATACCACAAAATTTTATTATGTGACGAGTAATTTAGATCCTCAATATTCTAAAGAAGTAAAAGATATTATTGTTTCTCCGCCTTCTAGTAACAAATACGAGAAACTTAAAGACCAACTGATTAAACGCTTGTCAGCATCGCGTGAAAGGAAGATTCAGCAGTTACTCATGCACGAGGAATTGGGAAATCGGAAACCTTCCCAATTCTTACGACACCTGCAGAGCTTGGCAGGTTCCTCGGTACCCGAGGACTTTATACAGAGCATATGGAGCAGCCGACTTCCCAACAACATCCAAACGCTGATTGTGTCGCAACCAACCAGCTCATTGGACGTTTTAGCCGATCTAGCAGACAGAATATATGATATAGTATCTCCAACACTTCAAGTCGCAACAACCTCACGTACTACATCGACACCTGGTACCAGTACGCAGTCTATGGAGAATGAAATAGCGGAGCTGAAAGCAGCTGTTAAGAACCTTACCATGCAATTGAGCAGACGTTCCAGATCATGTGACCGTTCTAGCATCCGCAATCGCAGACGTTCAACTTCCCGATCTGACTCCAGCTACAGAAGATACCCAACCTGTTGGTATCACTCGAAATATGGAGATAAGGCCAACCGGTGCATCAAACCCTGCGATTTTGGAAAATCGGGAAACGCTCGAAGCAGTCGGTGATGGCGACTGACGACTGCTTAACTTCTTCGGGTCGCCTCTTCGTTACTGACCGAAACTCCAAGAGCCAATTTCTTGTGGACACTGGAAGTGACGTGTGTGTGTTTCCGCGTACGGCACTTCGCGAACGACGGAGTAAGACATCTTATCAATTATCAGCAGCTAATGGTAGTGCAATTGATACATACGGGTATTTACAACTTAATTTAAATTTAAATTTACGACGTAATTTTCCATGGAATTTTATTGTTGCCGATGTAAATAAAGCCATAATAGGAGTAGATTTTCTTAGTCACTATAACCTAATTGTAGACGTTAAGAACAAACGATTAATTGATAATTTAACATCCTTGTCGACAATTGCTTTTATTGCTAAAAATGTAAATAATATTAATTCTGTTAAGGTTCCTATTGGCGACACACGATACCACACTATTTTAGCTAAATATCCAGAAATAACACGACCAGCAGGCACACCACACACCTCTGCACATAATACCGTACACTACATTCGCACTACGCCTGGACCTCCCATATCCTGCCCTCCTCGCAGGTTAGCTCCTGACAGGCTTGCAATAGCTAAGAAAGAATTTGAGCTGATGCTGAGCAACGGAACGGCACGTCCTTCTGAGAGCTCCTGGGCATCTCCTTTACATATGGCTCCCAAAAAAGGCAATGGGTGGCGCCCCTGCGGAGACTACAGGCTACTCAACGCACGCACCATACCAGATAAGTACCCAATCAGACACATTCATGATTTTTCGCACAACATATCAGGATGCACCGTATTCTCGACTATCGACCTTGTCAAAGCGTACAACCAGATCCCCGTCTTTGAGGAGGACATCCAGAAAACGGCAATCACCACACCGTTTGGTTTGTACGAGTTCCCATGCATGACCTTCGGACTCCGGAACTCCGCACAAACGTTCCAAAGGTTTGTAGATGAAATTACTAGAGGACTGGATTTCTGTTACTGTTACTTAGATGACTTCTTAGTATTTTCTGGAAGTGCTACTGAGCACGAACATCACCTCAATATTCTCTTTGGCCGAATGAAGCAGTACGGAGTACTGGTGAACACCTCTAAGTGTGTATTTGGTTCATCACAGGTACAGTTTCTGGGGTACCACATTTCAGCTGCAGGTACTAAGCCACTGGAGTCAAAAGTTCAAGCCATTAAAGAATTCCCTAAGCCCCGAACAGTCAAAGCGCTCAGACGTTATTTGGGCATGCTTAATTTCTATAGGCGGTTCTTACCAGAAGCCGCAAAAATTCAAGCACCCTTAAACGCCTTATTAACTGGTTCGGTGAAGGCTTCACAAGCTATAGACCTGACAGGCGACGCTCTAACAGCTTTTGAGCAGTCCAAGGACAGTCTTTGCAATGCTGCCCTATTAGCACATCCCGATTGCCAAGCCAAATTAGCTCTGGTAACGGATGCATCAGACTTAGCATTGGGTGCTGTACTGCAACAGTACAAAAATGATGCCTGGCAGCCATTAGCATTTTTTTCGCGAAAGCTTAGCCCAGCACAACAGAAGTACTCACCCTACGACCGTGAGTTGCTGGCTATATATGAAGGCATTAAGTATTTTCGCCACATGCTCGAGGCACGCCACTTCACAGTCTATACTGACCATAGGCCTTTATGTTATGCATTCCATGTAAGGAAAAGTAACTGTTCGCCGCGTCAGTATAGACATCTAGATTTTGTGTCTCAATTTACAAGCGACATTCAGCACATATCCGGCAAGGATAATATCGTTGCTGATACTCTGTCGCGCGTGGATGAAATACAACAGCCGGTGGATTTTAAAGAGCTCGCAAAAACTCAGTCCACAGATTCTGAGCTATCACAGCTTCTAGGCGATGAATCATCACTTCGCATTATTAAAGTTAAAGAGCCCGACAGCAAAGTCGAAATTTTTTGCGACATAAGTCTAGGCATACCAAGACCTTTCGTTCCCAAAAGTTTTCGAAAAGCTATTTTTGACAGTCTACATTCTTTAAGTCACCCTGGTGCAAACGCTACTGCTAAGCTGGTAGCACAGCGATTCGTTTGGCCAGGAGTCAGAAAAGACTGCCGAGAATGGTCTCGTACGTGCTTAGCCTGCCAGCGCTCTAAGGTAAACCGCCATGTGTCAGCACCTTTAGGCACATACGATTTACCACGAGCCAGGTTTTCCTATGTGCATATCGATCTTATTGGTCCACTCCCATACTCGAATAATTTCCGCTACTGCTTAACAGCAGTTGACCGTTTCACGAGATGGGCAGAAGTTATGCCCATAGCGGATATTACAGCCGAAACTGTAGCGAAGGCACTCCTATCAGGTTGGATCGCCAGATTTGGTTGTCCAACTGACATAGTGACGGACCGTGGACGGCAGTTCGAATCCCATTTATTTAATTATCTATCGAAAATAATCGGATTCAAACACCGCAGAACCACAGCTTACCATCCCGCTTCTAATGGCCTAGTGGAAAGATTCCACCGACAGCTGAAGACAGCTATTACATGTCACGCTGATAGCAACTGGACGGAATCTTTACCTCTAGTACTATTGGGCATCAGAAGCGCATTTAAAGCTGATCTGCAGTGTTCCTCAGCAGAACTCGTCTACGGCGAGCCTTTAAGACTCCCAGGCAAATTTTTCGAAAGCACAGTAAGCACCACAACTGACATTACGGATTTTACTGCACGAATTCGTTCAGTTTGTGAGAAACTGCAGCCTCGTCCCGCATCACGGCATAATAAAAATAAAATATTTATATATAAGGATCTCGCTAATTCCAGCCACGTATTCCTTAGGGAAGACCGGCTGAAAAGCACCTTCCATCCTGCATATTCCGGTCCACATGAAGTGACCGAAAGAGGTGATAAAGTATTTAAGATCATCGTTAAAGGTAAGCAGATAACAGTTTCTATAGACCGTCTGAAACCGGCCTATATGCTGAACACCGATCCGCCTTACGACGTCTCTCCTGATTGCAGCCCCAAAGTCATGGACGGCAGTTTAGAAAACCGGAAAACTACAAGGGCCGGTAGGCATGTCAGATTTCCTGATTTTTATCGACCGTAGGCACGGCCTCTGGGGGGGGGAGTGATGTGGGGATTCCACCACATTATTACACACACCTCATATATACACACAGAAACACAATAACACTTACACATAAACAAATACAACACCTACAATAAACGTAATTAATTATATATTATGTAACCATTATAGAACAAGCATTTAACACATTGGGACCATTGTGGATCGACCTTTTTCTAGACAGAGCGGCCGGGGATTGAATCGCGGCGCTCGCGCATATCCTGTTGTACTTGTATCAAGTTAGTTACCTGCTGATCGCCTCTGTGACTAGACCCTTGTAATACCTTTGCGCCCGCGGCTAACCACGTACAGTTTATTTGTTAATGCTATCTCTTACTTTCTTGCTTGTGCTATTCTTTGTAACTATGATTGTGCTCGCTTCCCTTCTGACTCTTTATTGTAGTGTGCTTTGTGTCGTGGACTATTAAAAGACTGTGAACGTTAATATAAACTGTTTTCTTCACTGAACCTACGACGCCTTACGCCATTTTAACCTACAGGGGTGATAACGCATCTGCATTTTGATCCTTTATCGAGTATAGATGTAGATGTCTATAGAACACAGCATTCACTTACCATAATACTATTATTCTATTAAAAAAAAATTACAGCGAGCGCTTATCCCCTGAGCTACCACGGATTTTGATATTAAGACGTATAATTTAAAATTAAAAATTTTGTACAACCGACTTCAATATAAATTATTAAGAATAACTCAAAAACTATTGGACAGACCTTGGTCAAAAGGGACCACATGTGAAGCACCAGCTTTCAAATAAAAAAAGAATCATCGAAATCGGTCCACTCAATACAAAGTTATGAGGTAACACACATAAAAAAAAACAGTCGAATTGAGTACCGTCTCCTTTTTGAAGTCGGTAGAAAATAAGTAAAATGACTAAGATAGAATCATTCTTAATAAAATAAACATATTATACTCGTATCTGAGGTTTCACGTACAGTCTCAATTCCAATCACGTTTCGTTTAAGCGAATACGATTTTAATTCCTCCCTTAATTGATGAAATGGATCATTCTCGAGGGAAATCCGGCGCGAGCGTTCACGTACGGGTTGTTGTTGTAATTATACACAAATTGGGTTTGTTTGTTGATTAATTTAAATTGAGCATGTAAGCCTTTTTTATTAAATTGAAGCGATAAACGAACTTGCAGTCCACCTGAAGGTAAGTGGTCACAGTCCATGGATACCTGCAACCAACTTTAAACAAAGAACGCTACAGATGTGTTGTGTTTTTTTTCGTATTTCTTCTTCTATCAGAACAGGGACTATGCGCAACAGTGGCATGAATTTTAATTAAAGATATTATGCCCGCCCTTCTGATTAGTTTATGGGAATGCAATAAAAATAAATACATAAGTAAATAAATCACATTAATCACACCTCGTTTAGAGCCGGAGCGGCATCAGAGGCAGCTGAAGTGAGTAAGTAAGGCAAATAAGAGTCTCTGAGAGACAACTACATATTTGTGCCATTTGCTGTAGAGACTATGTATCCGTGGGGTCCACGTGCGGTGAGGTTCCTAAAGGAACTACCTCCGCGGCTGGTCGTTGCTGCTGGTGATAAGAGAGCTGGCTCTTTTCTCGCTCAAAGGCTAAGTATAGCCATTCAGCGGGGAAACGCAGCCAGCGTTCTTGGCACGATACCGCGGGGAGTACTGTATAATAATTTTTTTTTAAATTTATTTACTAACATTTATATAAACATTACATAATTTTATAACTTCGCCAAACTGTAAGGACAGTTTGTTGGGGAATAAATACACTCTTATATCTTATTACATAATTAAATAAGTACACAACCCACACAATATATCAAACAAATAGAAATTATAAATATAAACACTATATTCTAATATACACTAATTTGAATTTTAATACTTTTTAATAAACACTATATTTAATTTCTATATTCTAATAATTCTAATATAACATCCCACCCACATAACATTGCAACCAAATAGAAATTCTAAATATTACCCATATATCTTTTTCAAATATTACAAACAAATATCAATTTTACAAATTGTCATATACTCGTACATACGCTATCATGTATCTTCTAACTATTTTATCTAAAAAATAATTCTTAAGCTTCTTTTTGTTTGTAAATTTACACTCAGGTCTACCTTGCCTTACCCAGTCTATTTCATTAAAAAGATTTGGTATTAAATATTTTGTACAATTAAGTTACTAGTTTTAGTTTTTTTTATTATAGTTTTTATTATTTTTAATTGTAAAATGACATGAAAAATCAATGGTTATTTTTTTTCAAATTACATTAGCGTTTTTGGTGGGTTTTATTATTATTACATTAAACCTTAATATGTTTGATTTAAATTGATGTAAAGGATTTTCCATTTCACAAATGGTATTAGTACATTGAGTATGAAGCACGTGATTTCCCTACGCAACGGCGTATCTACTAAGTAACCGGTTTAGTGCTAATCTAAATTGTGGCTTTACAGGCAACATACCATTTAATTTTGCTGGAACAGGCTTGCATCAATGATATAGAATTATAGAAAAATGTGAAGTATCAAAATATGAAGTAATAGATAATATTTGGAGAATGCCTTTGTTGTGTTGTTTTTGATAGGTTGTAATAAATGGATATATATATATCCATTCATTAAAACTTACAGTAACACTTAAGTACGTACTTACAGTACCACTTAACAGTAACTTAATTGTACAAAATATTTAATACCAAATCTTTTTAATGAAATAGACTGGGTAAGGCAAGGTAGACCTGAGTGTAAATTTACAAACAAAAAGAAGCTTGAGAATTATTTTTTAGATAAAATAGTTAGAAGATACATGATAGCGTATGTACGAGTATATGACAATTTGTAAAATTGATATTTGTTTGTAATATTTGAAAAAGATATATGGGTAATATTTAGAATTTCTATTTGGTTGCAATGTTATGTGGATGGGATGTTATATTAGAATTATTAGAATATAGAAATTAAATATAGTGTTTATTAAAAAGTATTAAAATTCAAATTAGTGTATATTAGAATATAGTGTTTATATTTATAATTTCTATTTGTTTGATATATTGTGTGGGTTGTGTACTTATTTAATTATGTAATAAGATATAAGAGTGTATTTATTCCCCAACAAACTGTCCTTACAGTTTGGCGAAGTTATAAAATTATGTAATGTTTATATAAATGTTAGTAAATAAATTTAAAAAAAAATTATTATACAGTACTCCCCGCGGTATCGTGCCAAGAACGCTGGCTGCGTTTCCCCGCTGAATGGCTATACTTAGCCTTTGAGCGAGAAAAGAGCCAGCTCTCTTATCACCAGCAGCAACGACCAGCCACGGAGGTAGTTCCTTTAGGAACCTCACCGCACGTGGACCCCACGGATACATAGTCTCTACAGCAAATGGCACAAATATGTAGTTTTAACGGTGGTAGAGCCTTGCAGCAGCTTTTGCTGTTGCAAGTATGGGCCAGCTCGAGCCGGGTTAGTACCACGACCTCTCAGAATACCGGCGTGAAGTGGAAGTTCTGCTTCCGCGTTTCGTCTGGTGAGTGCAGGTGACCGGATGCCCAATCCCCCCCCCCCCCATCAACATGGTAGCGGAATTACGTCATAAACTACCCCAGAAGGGTAACAGTACCCCTGGAGAATCCCTCGCTGAGCATCCACGACCATGCTATTCCACTCCTGAGCGTGGGTGCTCAGGCTGCCCCGCGTATTCTGGGGGGGGGGGCAAAATTCCGCTCAACACAATAACTGCTCGGGGCAAACTGAGCAACAAGACCAAGGCGACCCCTGCCACGCTATCCGTGAATTTCTGCAACATCAGGGGACTTCACTCGAATCTAAACGCCGTCCACTACCATCTTGAGACGGCGAAGCCGGCCTTGCTCTTTCTGACCGAGACGCAGGTGTCCTCTCCGGCTGATACTTCGTATCTCTCCTACCCGGGGTACAAATTGGAGCACTCCTTTGTGCCTCGGGCTGGAGTTTGCGTGTATGTCAGAGAGGACATCTGTTCTCGACGCCTCGGCAGTCTTGAAGGTTCGGACCTGTCCATCCTTTGGCTACGCGTAGACAGCGACGACCATCCGCGCGTCTACGTGTGCCTCTATAGGTCCCATAGCGGTAATGCCGAAACAGACCGACTCATCGACCACGTCCAAATGGCTACAGATTCCTTGCTACAACAGGTCCCATCAGCAGAGATCGTGATCCTTGGCGATTTTAACGCCCACCACGCCGAATGGCTCGGTTCACGTTTAACCGATCATGCGGGGAGATCTGTTTATGACTTTGCCTTGGCATATGGTCTGACACAACTGGTTACATCGCCTACTCGGATTCCAGATGTTGAGGATCATACACCTTCCCTGTTGGACCTTCTGCTGACCTCTCATCCGGACGGATATCAGGTTTCCGTCGATGCCCCTCTTGGCTCTTCGGACCATTGTCTGATCCGGAGTGTGGTGCCACTCACGCTCCCCTCGCGGTTGCGTTCTGCAGGTTGCCGCCGTGTTTGGCATTACAGGTCGGCGGATTGGGACGGAATGCGGTCTTTCTTTGCTTCCTACCCATGGGGGCGGGTTTGCTTCTCGCCGGATGATCCCAGCGCTGTTGCTGACTCTGTCACTGATGTAGTGCTACAGGGAATGGAACTATTTATTCCATCATCTGTGGTACCCATCGGAGGCAGATCTCAGCCTTGGTTTGGTCGCTCCTGTAAGACTGCATTACGCAGTAAGCAGGAGTGTTATCAAGCCTGGGCTGCGGCTTCGGTGATTCGGGATGTAAACACCAGCACACTCAAAAAGAAGTATAACTTCGCCTCCAGGTCCTTCAAAAGAGTTATTGCCAAGGCAAAGTCAGAGCACATAGGCAGAATTGGCGAGAAACTAGTTCGCCTTCCTTCGGGAACCCGTGCATTCTGGTCTCTCGCCAAGGCTGTCCAAGGGAATTTCTGTA